AACGCCTAGCGGAACTAAAATGGAATTGGGCAGGCCATGTAGCGAGAATGCATGACTCACGATAGACGAGCAAAATTACATATTCAAGGCCAAGAGCAGACAAACGTAGTAGAGGAAGACCACCCACACGTTGGGCTGACGACATCGGGCGTATCCCGAAAAATTGACAACAAAGAGCACACAATGGAAGAGTTTACGGGAGGCCTATGTCCAGCAGTGGACGTGATAAATGAAGGCCGGATGATGATGATGATGATGAATCATTATGTATATAACTCCAGGTTATGTAAGGGCATCGGAATATATTAATAGCATTTTTGCTGTTAATCACTTACATTTGGATTTACGGAAACACAACAGCCAATTTAATATCAAATGGCCCAAAATACCAGTATTTGTTGAAGACATGGTGCTAATTTTGGAACCAAAAATAGGCCATTTGCAAAGCCTTAACCAGTGGGTACCAGAAGATAAGCAGGCGTTTTACGTTAATATAGTAAATTCCTAGAAGACCAAAAAATTGAAAGCCACAACCTCCTAATAGAACTGAAATCCATGTATTTTTTTTTGAGTTAGTTTTAAACCTTGTAAGAATAACATTGTATTTTTATATTTTATGTTATAATATTACTTTAATTTGATTTAGACCTCGCATAGTCCTCTACCACCAGACTAGCACCAGTCCTCGCATACGGAGCAGAAACCTTAACTCTCGCAAAAACATCACCCGAAAAATTGAGAAAGCCACAACGAAAGATGGAGAGATCAACGCTTGGAATAAGCTTAAGAAATAGAATAAGAAACGAGGAAGTTTGTAGAGAAACCGGAGTGGAAGACATTATAGAACATATTACAAGGCAAAAATGGAGATGGGCAGGACATGTTGCAAGAATGAAAGACGACAATTGGGACAAAAAATTGCTTGAGTGGAGACCACGGGCTGACAAGCGAAGCCGAGGAAGACCCCTAACGCGATGGACCGACGACCTCAAAAGAATCGTGACTAATTGGATAGCAGAGACGCAGAACAGAAGCAGATGGAAAAGTCTAAAGAAGGCCTATGTTCAGCAATGGACAACTCAGGGCTGATTGATGATGATGATTGTTTTAGAGTAATTTTTTTTTGAAAAATCTGTCCAATAAGGAAAATCCAAAATTGTAGATTGATTTGATTAATACACATCTTTACCGAGACATACTAAAGAAAAAAGAATAACATTTTTAAAATATTTAGAGGTTAAAAAATAAACAACACTTTTCCGTATTTTCCAAAACTTTTAAAGACCACTTAATCCCTTTAAGAAATAATTGATTGCCTTAATTGAGGTAAATGATAATTAATCTAGGCGGGATCTGTTTTGGATTGGAAATTTTCGAGGGAAGCTATTTTTTTGGTGGAATCCCTTCAGGATATGCCAGTATCGATAATCACGATATGCGCCAGTCGCAAACCTGTGCTAAAATTTTTTATTTAACAAAATCTGAAAACAATTGAAAATTTCTCATTTTTTTGCTCATATTTTCATTTATAATTCGAAAATATTGATCTTAGAGGAAAAAATTATAAGTAGTTAAAAGTTTCGTTATTAAATTTTACACAATATTTTGTTAGCTAGAAATTGAAAATTTGATGGCTATTGTTGAAAAAATAGCACTAATTGGAAAAAAAAGTACAAAAAAATGAAGTTAATCCTTTAAATGTTTTCGACTTTCTAAACTTGACTTACAAGTTCCATATTCCGCCTAGAACAACTTTTTAATATGTTTAAAACGTGTGCTAAATTTTGTTAAGATCGGTCGGATAGGTTTTGCATAATAATTTTGCAATCCAGCCTTCTGGAAAAAAATCGCAAATTTTCAAATTCATAGTAGGCCCTAAATAAGGCCCTCAGATAGTTTGCAATTTTTTTTACTTATAAAGGGAGTCTCACACTTTCAAACGCTGTTTGTAAAATTCGAATCGGTTTACTAGGAAAGCCTATAAATTTTTTTAAAGTTATAAACATTTTTTTAGGCTTATAAACAAATTAAATAACTTTACGAGCTTTAAACATATCAATTTCAAAATATATACACTTAAAGAACATTAAAAGACGCTTCTTTTAAAAAACAAAAAGATACATTCGGCTTACTGGTTGCCGAGATATTGAAGGTCAAAGTTGGTATACATTTGCTGTGTAACCATAAGTGATAGAGGGCTCGTTTTTAAACAAATACCCTCGTCTTGCCAAATACTTTTTATATGAAAAGTTTTACGTAATGCGCTTCATGGTAACATCCATAAAAAAGACAAATAAAAAACCGTTTTCGCGTAAAATGTCGCTCGGAATGCATGAAAGGTGGTGGTGAAGGGACATTCACTTCAAATGTGAATCGGTGAGTATCAAGTAGGGGACCATCAGTTTGTTTAATTTCGGGTTTTGAAATATAAACAAAAGTAAAGTGCTCCAAAATCTGTAAGGGCTTGTAAAGTAAATTGTTACTTTTAGTAAACAAATATGTATTTATAAATTGTTAATAAATAATTTGAATTGTTAAAACGAAGGAAATTTTTTTTTGTAAAAATCAAACATTTTAAAATAACTAACATTAAAAATAATTTATTTCTGCAGTTTTATCATAATAATGACATTATTTGATTTGAGAATATATTTTGATTCGAAAGTGACGTGTATATTGTATATTGACGTGTTATTATACTGCTGGGTAATGCTCGAAATTGTTTTTTTTTGAGCTTGCAATTTATACATTGAAGTAAATTGTTACTTTTAGTAAACAAATATGTATTTATAAATTGTTAATAAATAATTTAAATTGTTAAAACAAAGGCTAATGAAACAAAAATTTTCTTTTCATAAATAGTCTATATTTTGACTCAATCTTCAATAATTTTTTTTAAGTCTTTTTCTTTTTTTGGAAGGACAAGAATCTTCAGGTTTTATTTCTTCCTCAAACCTTCATTTTCCATTTCAATATCTTCATCCTCGATCCTAAATTTAATGTTTCTTCTCCGTCATCTGTAGCTATATATTGTGCCTCCCAAAAATCTAAGGAATCCATCGACTCCATATCCATATCTCGTTCAACGTCTTCCAATATTTTATTGTGATCAATATTTTTACATGTTTGACCATTGCAGTGAAGACAATAGTCAGAACATTTGAGACCATGTTTGATACAACTGCATGTTTTTGTACAAAGTTTTTTACATTTGCAACTAATATTTCTGAATAATGAGTCAGGTAGTAATACTTGCTCAGTTTGTATTGGCTCAAGACCATTTTGAGTTATTTCCCACCCCCACTCAGTAGCATTCAGGTTATTTCCAAGCCACTGCTGTACTTGGAAATATACACGAAGTCGAGTGTTGCTCAGCTGCAGATTGTGTAGGTGGCAGCATGGACAATTGAAAATTTTTATTTTTGCAACCTTTTTTAAAGCACAAGTAGCGAATTTTATTCAATGTAAAATCGCACTTTGAGTGGCCCATATACAATGCCGATATAATTTTGCATCCGCTGTTTAATTTCTTCCTTAGTGGCACTTTTTTCATTAAAAATGGTTGCTTCTTGCCATATATTATTATTTGTTAAAACCAATTTAACAATTTTGCTTTTTCCTTGATAAAAAAATGCAGAGGTTGTATCACAACCAGAAAATGCGTGTAAAAAGCCCACTAAATTTTTTAACGAAGATTTCGTAGATTCACTTATTTTAGTGCATTATTGAAAGAGTTGTAGTCATAAATTTCTTCGATTTTTTTCCTTTGCTAGGTTTCCAGAAAAAAATATGTTTATTTTCAGTTACTTTTTGTAAAAATATTACCAGAAAATTAATATCCTCTGCAATTATAAAAACTGGCTTGTTATCTTAGGCTAATATATACTTGATACCGCCGATTCACATTTGAAGTGAATGTCCCTCATCACCACCTCTCATGCATTCGAGCGACATATTACGCGAAAACGGTTTTATTTGTCTTTTTTTATGGATATTGCCATAAAGCGCATTACGTAAAACTTTTCATATAAAAAGAATTTGACAAGACGAGGGTATTTGTTTAAAAACGAGCCCTCTATCACTTATGGTTACACGGCAAATGTATGCCAACTTTGACCTTCAATATCTCGGCAACCAGTAAGCCGAATGTATCTTTTTGTTTTTTAAAAGAAGCGTCTTTTAATGTTCTTTAAGTGTATACATTTTGAAATTGATATGTTTAAAGCTCGTAAAGTTATTTAATTTGTTTATAAGCCTAAAAAATGTTTATAACTTTAAAAAAATTTATAGGCTTTCCTAGTAAACCGATTTGAATTTTACAAAAAAGCGTTTGAAAATGTGAGACTTCCTTTATATGTAAAAAAAATGCAACTATCTGAGGGCCTTATTTGGGGCCTACTATGAATTTGAAAATTTGCGATTTTTTCCAGTAGTCTGGATTGCAAAATTATTATGCAAAACCTATCTGACTGATCTTAACAAAATTTAGCACACGTTTTAAACATATTAAAAAGTTTTTCTAGGCGGAATATGGAACTTGTAAGTCAAGTTTAGAAAGTCGAAAACATTTACAGGAATAACTTCATTTTTTTGTACTTTTTTTTTCCAATTATTGCTATTTTTTCAACAATAACCATTAAATTTTCAATTTCTAGCTAACAAAATATTATGTAAAATTTAATAACGAAACTTTTAACCACTTATAATTTTTTTCTCTAAGATCAATATTTTTCGAATTATAAATGAAAATAGGAGCAAAAAAAATGAGAAATTTTCAATTGTTTTCAGATTTTGTTAAATAAAAAATTTAGCACAGGGTTTGCGACTGGCGCATATCGTGATTATCGATATATCGAATTTCCATTATGGTCTGAATTTCTACAGGTGCCCGCCTAGTCTAAATGGACAAACAGCCTTTCCATAAAAATGTAAATAAATGAAGAATGACTGGCATAATTTATGAATCATGGAAGAAAAAAAGTTTAATTTAAATCACTCACCTTCAGTTGCGACAATTGCAAATATATAGGAAAATCCAACTATGAACAACCACATTTTAAGTTAAAATCAATTATATCTATCACGTTTACATAAAACTATATAGAGAAAGAAAGCCACCATACATTAACAAAAGCGGTAACAAACAGTTGTGATAATCTTTGAACTTGTATCTCGGAAAAATAAACCAATTCGCTTATTTCTGTCCACCGCGACGTTATATACGAGTATTTGGAGAATTTTTTTTATTTTATGACTATTGTTATGGCAAATAGATTATACCAATTTATTTAAAACAAGTTTTCTCGTTCAACTTGTATATGATTTGTTTAGTTAGCGATGTTTAGTACGGGTAGAATATTGAAATATTTACGAAACCGAACACATTAAAAATCGTTATATTTTTTCTTCTTTTAATTATTTCGGAAGGATAATTTCTATACATGAAGCGTGTAATATGCAAAAGGTGGTATGTGCAATTTTAAAATTTTTACAGGAGGCGCGTTAATTTGTTTCGTTTTAGCTTATAAGAGTAAGCTAGCTATTTCTGATATCATTTTAGATATACTTTACTGACACATACTTTAATGGAAACATTGGTAACATTCTTCTTCTTCAAGTCCCGCTTCTATCGGAGATTGGAAATCATTCTAGCAATTATTGGTATTGTTATTGTTACACGTCTGAATAGTTCAATTGAACTACATCCAAACCATTCACGAAGATTGCGTAGCCAAGAGATTTTACGTCTTCCTCCGCGTCTTCTGCATTTGATTTTACCCTGCATTATATTCCTTAGTAGTTCATATTTTTCACCTCTCATGATGTGCCTCAAGTATTCCAATTTCCTGATTTTTATGGAATTTAAAACTTCGCATTGTTTTCCTAGTTGTTCGAGAACTTGTTCGTTTGTTTTGCGATCCATCCATGATATTTTCAAAATGCGTCGATAACACCACATTTCGAATGCTTCTAGGTTTTTAATGTTGGATTTTTTAAGTGTCCAAGCTTCAACCCCATACAAAAGGGTAGAGAAAAATAACATCGAAGCATTCTTATCCGCAGCGATAATATTGATATCGCGATTACAAAAAGTTTTCTAATTCTACTAAAAGTTGACCGTGCAATTTTAATGCGGCATCTTATTTCTTTTGTCTGATCAGAAATATTAAAGTTCCTATGTAAATCAGACAAACAGTTCCTTGATGATCTAGTTGTACTTTTTAACAACATATATAATAGCGGTAAAATCCCGGAGAACTGGCTACAGTCAACATTTATTACAATCCCGAAGAACCAAATGCCAGATTTGTGATGACTACCGGCTTATAAGCTTGATCAATCATGTCACTAAAGCGTTCACTAAGATCATTCATAGAAGAATATATGATAAATGTGAGTCAAATATTGATAGATTGCAGTTTGGTTTTCGGAAAGCACTTGGAACTAGAGAAGCAATTTTCGCTCTCCAGGTGCTTATACAGCGGTGTAGAGACGTTGATAAGGACGTGTATTTGTGCTTTGTAGATTTTAGAAAAGCATTTGACAATGTCAATCATGAACAATTGATAGGTATTCTGCGAAAGACAGGTATTGACGACAAGGACATTCGAATTGTGGCAAACCTATACTGGGGTCAAACAGCAAGAGCAAAAATTTGGCAACGAACTCACTGAAAGCTTGCAGATCAAAAGAGGTGTCCTTCAGGGGTGTATATTATCCCCACTCCTATTCAATATGTATTCGAGGAAATATTTAACAAATGTATGGAAAATGCAAATGAGGGCATAAAAATAAACGGCGAGTTAACGAACAATATAAGACATGCCGACGACACGGTGATCCTTGCCAGTACCATAGACGAATTACAACAAGTAATGGAAAGACTTTATTTAGTTAGTGAGGAATACGGCCTGAGCCTCAACTTCAAGAATTGTCTTCTTGGATGCTGATAAGTAAAAAGCAACAACCTGCTTGACAATTACGGATAAGTAACATACTAATTGATCATGTAGAATCTTATGTGTACCTTGGCACCAACGTAAATGCAAATGGGAACAGACCATAGAAATTAAGGCGAGAATAGAACGAGCTAGAGCAGCATTTAGCAATATGAAAAAGCTCCTCATAAGCAAGGATTTGTCTCTTCCCTAAAACTACGTCTAGTTAAATGCTACATTTTTCCGATCTTGCTGTATGGCGTGGAGGCCTGGACGCTGACGGAGACGCTAACGAGAAAACTAGAAGCATTCGAAATGTGGGTGTACCGACGCATTCTTCGTATATCCTGGACCGAACATGTCACCAACATAGAAGTACTCCAAAGAATCGGAAAGGAGAAAGAGATCGTGAATACAATTAAACAAAGAAGCTTGAATGTCTAGGCCACATATTGAGACACGATAAGTACCGTCTGCTACAATTGATTGTCCAGGGAAAAATAGACAGTAAGCGAGGGCCAGGCAGGAGAAGACACTCGTGGCTCCAAGGTCTGCGGAGGTGGTTCGGGCTCACATCGATCGAACTATTCAGAAGCGCCGCAAACAAGATCAAAATTGCCATGTTAATAGCCAACGTTCGCAACGGACAGGGCACTTGAATAAGAAGAAGATCAGTATCTTCTGTGATAGATGCTCCAAGGTATTTGTACGAAGATATTTGTTCAATTTCTGTATTATCTAGTACTAGCTTAGCTTTGATGTTTTGTGCTTTTGTAAATACCATGAACTTGAAATATAAAGACGGTACTAGATTTTTGTTTTAATACAGAGCGGCGGCAACCGCTTATACGTATTTCGACCTCTTTAGATCTCGTCAGAGCGGTATAGCCACTTCTCTGGATCAAAAAAATTTCTTTCCGTCTTAAACAATAGTTATAAAATAACTACGGACGTATACGTATATATGGACGTAACTACGCCATCTAACAACAAAAAGAGAAATCAAACGATTTCTACCTGGCGAAATCAAATTCAAAGCTTGACAACCGTGCCTTCTAAAACTTGCAAAGCAAACAGCTTGATAAATAACTCGACAAGGAAATCTACGATTGCATTTCACATGTTGTTTATCATGGTCAAGATTGGTAGTGAATTACAGTACAATAGTTATTTATCAAGCTGTTTGCTTTGAAAGTTTTAGAAGGCACGGTGGTCAAGGTTTGAATTCGATTTCGCCAGGTAGAAGTCGTTTGATTTCTCTTTTTGTTTTTACCATGAACTTGGTTTTTTTTTCTCAAATTTATTTTTAGTCCATAATCGTTGCAATTTATATTTAGTTGCTCAGCAAGGTATTGCAGTTCTTCTAGTGTTCCTGTCAGAAGGACGGTGTCGTCAGCATATCTTATGTTATTAAGTGGCTCACCGTTTATTATAAGACTGCCTCGACAAGCGCTAATTCTGAGATGACTTCACTGTATAAATTGAATAACAAGGGTGATAAAATACACCCTTGGCGGACCCCACGGCGAATCTGGATATCCTCGGTCAGTTCATTTTCAACTTTCAACTTTTGCTGTTTGGTTCCAATAGAGGTTACATATGATTATAATGTCTCTTCTGTCTATGTTTTTATGTAATAAAATGTCTTGAAGCCAATTATGCTGCAATATATCAAATGCCTTTTCAAAATCAATGAAACAGGCATATACTTCCTGATATATATCTAAGCATCTCTGCAAAAGAACACTTGCTGTAAACAGTGCATCTCGTGTTCCCAGTCCTTTCTTAAATCCCATTTGTGTATTACTTATGCCTTCATATAATTTCTTATGTATTTTATTGTGAATTACTTTTAAAAACAATTTCAAGACATGACTCTAAGGCTATGTTGCGATGTTCATTGCACTCCTCTGCATTGTCTTTTTTGGGAAACAGTATGAATATTAAAATTGGAGCCATTTCTGACGCCTTTACTATACAAAATAGTTTGTTAAATACAATAATAATATTATAATGCTGATTCAAAAGATTGTATTATAAACTTATAAGATGTAACTTATTTTTATTCATTTCGTAAGACACCTGACTCTCCACCAGTTTTTGGTAAAATTCTTGATTAGCAGGTGAAATGAAAGGGATCATACTTCTAATTTCTTTAATTTTTTCTTTGTTCCATTTATGGGGTTCTTGTTCCACCAATTCAATGTTTCAAATTTTAAAATATTGTGTTTGTAACCTTTGGTTTAAACACACGCACTTTGCGCCATGGTGAGACCTCTGAGTAGTACGACGTTTTAACAATTTGCGCTAAATTGTCCTTAGATATTTTCAGCATAACAGCTTGGGAGATGTCCAGGGTGGAGGTTATACTCCATTCCACGAATATACGACTGTTTTAAATTCGCTTTAAGGTGTCGACTTAAATGGTCCAATGTGCTGAATTGTACAATGGTAAATTCTCCCCATTTTTAAAATACTGTTATGACAGATATACACCTTAGATTTAAATATGAAGTTATGATCTAAATATAGAATTGATAGTTTATAGAATAGTTGTAATTCAGATTTTGAAGTATACTCGTATAATTACTCTCATTGACTTTAGTATTGTAAACAAGTTGGTTTTTGAATTAAGTGATTTAAACGAAGTGTAACAATACTTAAGTGATTAAATAGTTTAATTTATTTAGTCGAATATTCAATAAGTATTAAAAAAACAAAAAAACTTACTCTTACTCTTATTCTCCTAATCACCATTACAAACAAATACACTACACTAAACTCTCTCTTAACGGACACGTCTCTTCACCGGACACCTCTATACGGACGGTTTTTAAAACTAAAATCAGTCGGCGATTTATGAAACTGTATGTAAATTTTCGTTACTTTTTAATATCTGTAATGACTCGGTACTTTAACTATCAATTGCCGCCATGTTATACCCGTTACTTTCGGAACTTTTAAGAGTATATCCACTCAAAGCAAACAAAAAACTAACAAAGTGGAATACTAGATTCTTTTTCTGGTTTCTGAACCATCGTTCTGCCAATTTCTTTTTATTTATATTAAAAATAATATATTTCTTTTTATTACCGTTGTAGTACCTAATAAAGTAATAAAGATACCCGGCGCGCCTCTTTGGTGTTTACATTTCACCGAAATCCAACCCAAATGGCTGATGAACACATTTTAACTTCATAGAGGTCATTGTATTTATTTGTAGGAGCGTTTACGTAAATTTTTTTGTTATTTTC